GCTCGGCTCGTTGCCACCGCTACCGGTAATCCAATTCCCAAGAGAGAGTTGAGGCGAGAAGGAGTAGGAGTAGGAGTAGGAAGATTTTGAAACGTCTCCATTTCACGGGTTCCCCTCTTTCCATTCTCTTTTTTACTTTTACTTCAATATCCTTTTTTTTTTTTATTTGGAAATCTTGTAATTTGCCGGTAAAGCCTGTAAAGTCACTCCCGAACTTGTAGCACTACCCTAAAATTAATTTTTTCTTTCCTTTTATCAACAATACATTTTTCAATAAAATAATATTACATATAAAACTAAAAAAATTCCTTCTTTTTTTAACCATCCATTCTTCAAAAAATTATCATTCATCTCATTATAACGTTAAACAACGGAGCCCAAAAAGGAGCTTATTGAAAGTTAGATTTTTCTTAAGTCGGTTTGTTTTTCATTATTTCAAAACTCTTTTTTACAAATACTCATTTCAACCAAACAACCACGCATTTACGTAACAAAATATTTTTCATATAAACCAAAAATTTTTGTCCACTTTTTAATCACATATTATCCAAAAATTCATTATTCAAAACAATATTTTTTTCAAAAAAATGGCACCAAACCTGGACTAAAATTGTTGCTTTCGTTTTGTTTATCTAATTTTCTAAGGAATCATGGCAGTGCTAAATGCACCAACTTCCATTGACGCCGAGTGTGAAAATTCAAAATTGTGAGTGATCAGTGATCACATGCTTCTCCCTTTGCCACTGGGCTTTTCACGGCGGTTTTGGCGGCCAAATGTGGAGGTGGCAGCCTTTCCATTCTTCTCAACCCTCCTTTTTCCCGTTGAAATCCGAAAAAACTCTTTTTTCAAAATTTCCAAACTGGACTATGGCGAGTTTGGTTTTGTGGGTTTTTCTTGATGGGTGTCTCCTTATACGCCACCCAAATACTGCTGCCCTCTTCTTTCAAAAATCTGATCAGTAAACCAAGCCTTTTTAGAAGTGATTTTGTTGATTCAAATTGTCCCACAATCACCATATATAATGCACCAAGGCCTTATGATGGTTTAGTTGGGGAAAGACAGGTTCTTGCCCTTCAATCATGGATCGGTTTATCGGAAAAGTTAATGTTGTTCTTTTTAGCCAGGATTCTTCTGTTATCTCTTTTGCAGATGAGTTTGGTTCTCGGGTCTCAGTTGAGCCTAATATTGAATTTCACGTAACGATTAGCAAGGTTTATATTGGATTATTTATTGTCATGTAATGCTGTTTCTTCAGAGCAATTAGTGTTAACTAATGTAATTGAGTTACATGTTTGAGAATGTTTACACTTTTGACATACAGATACAACGATTAGATTAAACAATTACCGGAATCTCTAAGGTGCATAATCACTACGGAAGCTTTTAAATTAAGTTCTTTATAGCTGATTTGAAAATGTGTTGTAGCTGTAGCTAGCTAAGCACGAATGAACTATTTTGATTTGATTTATCTGATTTCCATTCTAAAGACCTAATGTTGGGCAACCTAATGAATGGAAAATGAGAGTTTACAATTTAACTTCTAAGCAAGAAAGAGTTCTTCGATTTGATTTATCTAATTTCGGTTCCAAAGATCTAATGCTAGGCTAGTGGTCACCTAAAAAAATGTATAGAGCTTTTGTGTGGACGAATTTCTGATTTTAAAATTACTGTAAATAATGTTGGAATGTTGGAATAGTATATTTCAATTTACTCTAAAACTTTTTTCCTGTTTGAAATTCTGATCAGGTTTAGGTCCCCAGTTTTTTCACTCGATGGTGGCAAGGTCTCTGGCATCATCATCAGATGTTTCTGTATTGATTGATCCTGACAACATTCTTCTGCCAAACTTTATTTCCATTCTTGAATATGCTTACAAGCTAGATCAAGATTGGTCTCTTGTTGCTTCATCACAAACTCAATTGGGAAACATTGGATAGACGATGACGTTAAGCGTATTGGAATTTGTAAGGTACTAAGGAATTCTGTTCGGATTCAGACTTGACGGGACCTGAGAAATTTAATTCTAAAGTTGTGCTCTTCCACCAGCTGCAGGAGTTTCTTGCTCAGAAATCTCACTGTAAACCACGTGGAGATAGAATGCTTATGGCATGAAACAGTGGAGATCTTCCTCTTCACTGTGGTGTCTTACCTCCGTTTGTGTATGGAAAGGGACTCCACAACCATTGGGTATTAACTGAAGCCTGTCCTCCGACTTCAGGCTTGTGCTTGATGCAAGATTGGACCATTTCGAATTTCTACCTGAATGACCTTGACCATGAGAATCATCAGTTGATTGAAGGTATCAAATTTCTGATCTTGAATAGAGAAGTTGGGAATTTCTGGGCAATTGCCATCTCGGAAGGCTTTACGGGTTCATTTCATTGCGTGAAGCTAATTACTCTAATCTGTTAAGATTTCTCGAGTGTGGTGGGAACTATCTTTTTGTAAATACAGTGAAAAATATAGTTTATCCATTGGGATACAAGAGATCACTGAGCTTGAGGAAAAAGGGCATCTCCTTATCATCCATAGAGGGGGAAATTCTGGATTGTGTTGATGTTGTAAAATCACTTGATGTGATAGAAGGATGCTTTGTGATAGTTGAAGTTGTTAACATCAATTACCTTAGAATCTCTACTGTCAATGCGTGCTAATCAGAATAAGACCATTGTACTAGCTGTTGCTGGATACAGTTACGAGGATATGCTAATGAGCTGAAATTTATGGTTTTGTAGTTTTGCAGTTTTGCAGATAACTTGCATTTCACAATTTAATTTTTATGTATTGATAGATTGCAGCTCAAGCTTATTAGCACCAAATACTGTAATCTACTTTGTTATGCACACTCCGCGAAGTCATTAGCATATGGGGTAATAGACAAGATTCAACATTAATGAACAAGATTTTAACTTTTTTTCCTTTCTTTCTTGGTCCTATCCAGTGCTATGGAATCCTTCCTACCAAGCAAGCAATTAACATTTTCGAATAACATCGTGGTTTCAAGTACACATTAATATTAATTCTTTTCTAATATATGAGATTCTAGGGTCTTACCTCGGTGACTTAACTCGCTTCTATTATGCTCATTTGGATGGTATAACCATTGCAGCATTGGAGAAAGTAGCGAGGCATGCAGTTAATGCCAATCTCTTGGAACAGCCGAGCTTCTATGACACATTATGTGGGGAAGGTGTGTTTCACCGTATAGGCAATAACAGATGTTTGGAGAACTCGACAGTATATTTCTTGAACAGAGACCTGTTTCTTTAACTGTGCATACCAAGGTCTGGGGGAGGAAATAAACATAAAATAAGCCCACGCGAACAAGGGTGTTTATATTCTCCATAACAATTGAATTAGTGGAAGGAAGAAGAAGATGGAACAACGTGTTATCAGGGCTATGAGAGCGCGATATTGGCTCTAGAATGTGTCTACAAAGCTGGCCTAGGACTAAATTCACAAGATACTATTGAAAAGAGAGAGATGCTTTTCTATGTGATGGTGGGTAGCTTTGTCTTTCACGTTATGGAGGAGAAATCGAAGAATTACTTTTTGTCGGATATACTTCTATCTACAAAGCTTTGGATTTATCACTGATTATATTCAAGATGGTGCCAAAACAGCCGGCCAAGAAAAAAGCCAAATTTGGTGAGTTCTATATTCTTCATCCACGCCAGTTAACAATTCTTTCTGTCGTTGGACCTTTATGCTTACAACTGTATTGGGATATTCTGGTTGCCGGCAATGCTGAAGAGATGTGTTCCTGTTTTAGGTCTCATTTGGTGGTAGAAAGTGAATCCAAGAGACAGGCAGAGTTGAAAGAGGAAACAGTCTCATTCGGCGCAGGTTCTCATATAAAGAATACTGCTGTAAGGATAGTTCATGCTGGTGGGAGAATTGAGCTCTATCAAAATGCAATTCCTGCATCTGAATTGATTCAGAGATATCCTGGGATGCGTATAGCACGGCCTGATATCTTCAAGCGCCCCCATGAATCTGTTTTATCTGCTGACGACATGTTATTGCCGGGCAACAAATACATTATCATCCGGTCCACTACTGTAGAGAAATTGAAACGCAGACACTCACGGGAAGCGAATGTAAATCAACAAGCTGGTAGTAATGAGCCTATCTTAGATTTTAAAGAAATTAAAGATGTAGGAGATAATTATTCAGAAGAATCTTTTTGTTCTGCTAAAGACTTCTATCTCTCTCAAGACAGTTGGTCAAACCATTTTCTGAAGAATCGAGTGAAAGAGAAGAAGCCATTTGTACCCCCAATCCAGAGGCCAAGAATGTGGAAGGAATCCGATTGGGAGCCGAGTCTAACTTCAATACAGGAGCTATCTCCATGAGTATCCCTGTTCCAGATTCTTGATGCACTTTTACTACTACCATTCTCTGGTATGTAGATTTCTCTGTGCTCTTCAAAAGGTGGTCATTAGATCTTTGAGAAAGTGATCGTCAAGATCATTTTACACTTGTTATGTTCTCCGTATAGCCTTCAAAAGTCGATTTAAAGATCCTTGAAAGAGTTGCCTATGTTCTATTGATTGGTATATCCATTTTCTAAATTTCTTTCTAAATTGCAGATATTTTCATAACAATTATCTGCTCGAGAACATGGATTCTAGGTCAATCACAAGATCCTAATATCCTATGTTGGAATAAGTGAAGGCTAGAGGGGATGTAAGACAAGAATTGTATTCTAGATCCATTATTCTGCACAAGGAAATGAGAGTAATTGTTTTTTTAGTCATATTGTGTTCCTTTTGGGATCTCTATGTTCTTCTTCTCAATGCCTGAGAATTTATCGAGTCTTATTCAAGTACTCATTGGCATGGATCGAGTGCTTCTAGTGAAAGACGGGAAAAATGTAAGAAACTTGTATTGAATTGATTTTTCCGTGAGTATTACAAGAACCTCATTACATTTTTATAGGCATATTAAAACACTATCTAAAGTAGTCTTTGAAGTAAATAAGGAGCATGAAGATTCTGGGATGAAGAAATTGATCTGTGCAGGGAATTGTGGATCTACATGATTGATCTTTCATTGCATGACCAATGAATGAGTCCCAAAGTATGGCTTGGTGCATTCTCACTTGTTCTGTCATTTGTAGCTGCAGATTTGCCTTTTATTTTGTGCAGTGAATTACCTAGCAAATCTCCATTAATTTTGGACGTGTGATCTTGAATATTTATCTCCTCTTCCTTCTTCGACACCATATCTCTCCTTTGATATTCAGATTTACCATAATTATGTGGTTTTCCATAATTATGTGGGATTGCAAAATCATTGTTGAGTTGATTATGCTGATTTTGCTCAATACCCTCCCGCAAACTTGGCCGGGGCTGAAGGCAAAGTTTGGTCCGAAAACAAGAAAGTTGTGATTTGGACATAGGCTTGGTAAATATATCAGCAACTTGGGAAGGTGAAGAGACATGTTGAGTGATCAACTGACCAAGGGCAACACGTTCACGCACAAAATGATAGTCCAATTCAATGTGTTTACTTCGAGCATGGAAGACGGGATTGACAGTCAGGTGGAGTGCACTAATATTATAACACAAGAGAACCGGAGGACTTGAGAGTAGAACATGGAGATCACAGAGAAGAAAAGTCAGCCATGTAAGCTCAGCGGTGGCATGAGCCATAGCTCGATACTCAGCTTCAGTGCTAGAGCGGGACACTGTTTGTTGCTTCTTTGCACACCAAGAGATGAGGTTATCACCCAAGTAGGTGCAGTATAATGCAGTAGAGCCTCTTGTTGTTGGACAACCAGCCCAATCTGCATTAGAGTAGGCACAGAGGTTAAAAGTGGTATGAGAAGTAAGATGCATGCTTAGGTGTAGAGAGCCTTTGATGTAACGGAGTATTCGTTGAACCATCTTGAGATGGGATTGAGTAGGAGCTTGCAAAAACTGTGAAACAGAATTAACACTAAAAGATATATCAGGCCTTGTTAATGTTAAATATTGCAATGCACCAACAATGCTACGATAAAAGCTTGGATCATTAAGAAGGGTAGCATCGGTTAGACCCTTCGTTTTGGACTCCATATGGGTATTCTTAGGCTTGCAGTCAGTCATGTGAGCATGTTCAAGAACAGTTAGTGCATAATGTGATTGCGATAAGTGTAAGCCATTGAGTAATGTTGTGACTTCAATTCTGAGAAAGTGATGGATGGCTCCAAGATCTTTCATTGCAAATTCCAAATGAAGACGAGTGAGGAAGGTTTTCACCAAAATTGGATTGGAGCCTGTCAATAACATATCATCAACATATAGGAGTAGAATTATCGTGCCATGAGTAGAGTGATGAATAAAAAGTGATCGGTCAGCAAAGCTACAGAAAAATCCATTTTGAATAAGAAAAGTGCTAAACGATCAAACCACGCTCGAGGAGCTTGCTTCAGCCCATATAAAGTACGTTGAAGCTTGCACACATGAGAGGGAAATTTTGGATCTTGCATACCCGGAGGTTGTTCCATATAAAGATTGTCCGAAAGGACTCCATGAAGAAATGCATTTTTTACATCCATTTGACGAATTTCCCATCCATAAACAAGAGCAATGCTAAGAACTAGCCAGATTGTCCCTGGCTTGATGACAGGAGAAAAAGTCTCGATGTAATCAAGGCCATCCACTTGGTTATATCCTTTAGCTACCAAGCGTGCTTTAAGATGATCAAGGGTACCGTCAGCTTTCAGTTTGGTTTTAAAGACCCATTTAGATCCAATCACATGCATGGTAGGAAGACGAGGAACAAGTTTCCACGTGTTATTTTGATAAAGTGCATCCATTTCTTCGTGCATGGCTTGTTTCCAGCCTTCATGTTGAAGAGCCGATTTTGTTGTGCGAGGCTCACGAGGAATATTCAAAGTACTGACAGTCAGAGTATATTTTGGGTTTGGCTTGCGAATACCAGCTTGCAGTCGAGTGAGCATGGGGTGGGGGAGACGGTTGGAGTAGGCTGCTGAATTTTCAGAGCTGGGGCAAGGGCCGGAGAATAAGGCTCAGTGGGAGCATGAGGTGAAGGCGCGACAGCATCAAGAGATTGTTGATGTACAGGAACAACAAGAAGATGTGCAAACTCAAGAGCGTCAATAGTGGAGGGAATTTCATGACCTGGCAAAGTAGTGGATGCATCAGAAATAGAATCTGTCCAAATATCAAAATTTGACTGAAGAAATGAAGAAGGGTGTTCAGTGTGCAACAAATAGGGTTGTTTGAAGGAAAAAACTTTTTCATCCAACACCACATGCCGTGTCATGTACATACGATGAGAGAGTGGATCAAAACATTTGTACCCTTTGTATTTATCATTATAACCAAAAAAGACACGGGAGAGTCTTGGGGTCAAATTTATTTTTCTTAGTATCCCAAATATAAGGAAAACATTTAGAGCCAAAAACACGCAACCGTGAGTAGTCAGGTTTAATACCATGCAATTTAGAGTAGGGGATGTCAAATTGAATTGAAGAGCAAGGTAAACGATTAATAAGATAAACTGTTGAGCTAAATGCTTCAACCCAAAAATAAATGGGAAGACCATTATGAAACAACATAGTCATGCCAAGTTCTCGAATAAATTGATGTCGGCATTCAACCATACCTGATTGTTCTGGAGTGTATGGACAAGATATTTGATGTGAAATACCTTGGTGAGTGAAGTGAGTTGTCAAGCGGGAGTTGACAAATTCTCCACCGCCATCGGAGTGGAAAATTTTAATCCTTTTGTTAAATTGACGCAAAATATATTTTTCAAAGGTTAGAAATGCATCAGTAAAGTCTGATTTGGATTTTAATGGAATTATCAAAGTATAGCGAGTAAACTTATCCACAAGACATGCATAATACCGAAAATGATTAATAGATAAAATGGGGGCAGGTCCCCAAAGATCGCAGTACACACGATGAAATAATTCAGTACATAAAGTTTTGGAATCAAGAAAAGATAATTTGCTAAGTTTCCCAAGTTAACAACTATCACAAGACATTTGGCATTTTAGTGCTACCATTGATAGAAATTAAACCCTTAGATTTAAGTAAATGTAATGATGAAGACTGTGGGTGGCCTAGACGTTGATGCCAAAGATCAGTTGAACTGAAACAGAAACAAGTGGAAAAGTGGGCCTCCTGAGGACTTTAAAGCATATATAAGTCACCCTTGCGCGTCTCCTTCAATATTATTAGCCCTGTCTGTCGTGCCTTAACAGAAATACCAAGATTAGAAAACTCACAATTAACTGGATATTGATCAGTAAGTTGACTAACTAATAATAAGTTGCGAATAAGTGAAGGGACAACAAGTACATTAGTAAGAGGTAATTTCTTTGGGCCATCATGTATATTAGCATCACCCATAGATTTAATAGCACTACCATCACGAATGAGAACTTTATCATTACCAAGGTAGGGTTGAGTGTTCTAAACCTACCTTCATGACTAGTCATGTGGTTGGATGCACCAGTGTCAGTGGTCCAATTTGAATCTATTATACTGGTGTCTAAGGTGAGAGCAACAAGAGCATGTGGAATGTCTTCTTGATTTACACAATTTTGAAACGAACCCAACAAATTGTTACAATGTGACCATCCCGGTTACAGATTTGGCTACGCTCATTTTTATAGAGCTCCCATTCCATAGGTGTCATGCGTCGCATCATGGGGTTGTTTTGACGAGAAGAGTCAGGGTTATGCCTCTGTTAAGTCATATTTCCTGCATTATGAGAGAATTGGTTAGTAGAAGTTGCGGGTTGTAACCCGCGGCCTTTGGATGTAAAAGAATTGGTGTTGCCAGGTCGATTGCTCCCTAAGTTGTTGATGCGATAAGAGTTGTGTTGATTAGGAGAAGTTTGTCGATTGACATAGAATGCGAAGGGGACAACTGTTTACTTAAAGAGCCCTTGACGTTGTTCAAAGCCTTGGAGTAAGGAAACAAGTTCTGAATAGGTAGGCTTGGGTGGCTTCATCATGGAGGTTGTGAAAGTCTCATATTTAGGTCCCAAACTGGTGAGGAGAAAGAAAACACGTTCTTTGTCAGCAATGGGGCAACCAATGGCAGGCAAGTTGTCACATAAACTCTTGAATTTTCTGAGATGATCAGAAAGTGAAGAGGATGAATCCTTCCACAGGTATGTCAGTTGTTGATGTAGAGTGAATTCCCGTTCTTGGGATCTTTGGACATATGCATTTTTTAGAACATCCCAGACATTTTAGTCTCCATGCCGATTATAAGACCAAGAGCTTCAGGAGAGAGTGTCCCAATGATCCAACCACTGAGTAAGAGATCTCGCTTTCGCCATTCAAGATAGGCAATGTTATATGTGGGATCCTCAGTAGGCATGGTAGGAGTTGTATACATGGATGGCTGTATAGTGGAGCCATCAAGGAGACCAACAAGGTCTTGGCTTTCAGCAAGTGCTACAACCTGCTCTCGCCAGAGAGGGTAGTTATCAGTTGAAGCTTGAGGGTGACAAAGTTACCAACGTTGAGAGAAAAGGAAGTCATTGAAGAAGAAAAAAAAATGAGGTTCTTGAACTCACACTGGCTCTGGTACCGAGTGAAAGACAGGAAAAATGTAAGAAACTTGTATCGAATTGATTTTTCCGTGAGTATTACAAGAACCTCATTACATTTTTATAGGCATATTAAAACACTTTCTAAAGTAGTCTTTGAAGTAAATAAGGAGCATGCAGATTCTGAGATGAGGAAACTGATCTGTGCAGGGAATGGTGGATCTATGTGACTGATCTTTCATTGCATGACCAATGAATGAGTTCCAAAGTATGGCTTGGTGCATTCTCACTTGTTCTGTCATTTGTAGCTGCAGATTTGCCTTTTATTTTGTGCAGTGAATTACCTAACAAATCTCCATTAATTTTGGGCTTGTGATCTTGAATATTTATCTTCTCTTCCTTCTTTGACACCATATCTCTCCTATGATATTCAGATTACCATAATTATGTGGGATTGCAAAATCATTGTAGAGTTGATTATGCTGATTTTGCTCAATACTGCTCTGTTTCCTATCTGTATTAAATGATGAATGAAATGGAAAAATTGTACCCTAGAAAAAAAAAAGTTTGAATGCTGTTAAGAAATATGGTGTACTATTAAGTTGAAGCAGCTAAACGAGTCTTAGACATCATTGTTTACTGTTTAATGATCTACTTACAATTTAAGAAAATACTGGGATTTTGAGTGGAATAAAAATTGAAGAAGGAACGATTTTCCAAAAAAAATTATGACAAATAAGTCACTGTTGGAAAAACATTGCCAATCTAATCAAAAACGAAATTTGGATATGAACTTCTAATGTACACAAAGAATATTTTGTTTGTGTGGAATGGATAGCATTCAATAGTATTAAGAAAGAACAATAAGTTAAAAAATCTTGCTCATTTTAATGTATAGTCTTTTTCAATACTGCAAACCAAATCTACACTCAGAGAATGAATGATAAAAGCTTAGTCAAGATCCATGTGTAAATAACAGCAAACATGGCACCAGCTGGAATTGTCACAGCCCAAGAAGTGACAATCTCCCTCACTGTTTCTGCCCTTACACTGTTAAGTCCTCTAGCAAACCCAACCCCCATCACAGCTCCGACCAGAGTATGGGTGGCTGAGATGGGGAGTCCTAGCTTCGATGCAACCAGCACAACAGACGCAGCTGCAAACTCTGCTGCAAATCCTCTGGTTGGTGTCAATTCTGTTATCTTCTTCCCAATTGTTGATATAACTCTATATCCCCACATTGCTAGCCCTGCGACAATCCCAAATCCACCCCATGCTAGAACATCATTAGGAATAACGATCTCACTTCCACTCATTCCACCTTGAAGAATAGATAAAGCTGCAGCTAATGGGCCTATTGCATTGGAGACATCATTTCCTCCATGAGCAAATGACATAAAACATGCAGACAGGACTTGCATGTCGCCGAAAACTCCATAAACTATTTCTAGCTGGTCGCCTTTAGGACCAGCTATATCTGAAAGGAATCCAATATTTTTACTGGAACTAGTTTCCTCCTTTGCCTCTGATTCACTTGTATTGGATTTATCAAGTAGGTGACCGACTTGCTTCCGTATAATTCTATAGACTATAATAGCACCAGCTGTGCCGCATGCTAAAGCCTGGGCAAGAGCCACAAGAAATGTCTTGCTTAGCGGGAAGGCTGCGAAAGAAATTCCAGTGACGCCCAGAAAAACTGCAATTGGTGCAGCTGCAGCAGCTGCTTGTCCTGGGTTAGGAGCACTGTAAACAAACTGAAAGTAGTGAAGAGGGTTAGACTTATTGGAATACATTACCAGTGTGATTGAACTTTCAAGGATTTAAAAGACTGGTAGTCACTTCACTTGTAGCATTGTTCCATTTTGGTCACTAAACTTTCTCGTGTTCAAGATTAGTTACTAAACTTTCATATTCCGTTCAATTTATGCACTCTATACCTCCGACTACTAAATTAACAAAAATGCTAACATTAATACATTATAGTGGCTGGGATTTCAATTTTCTGTTTTGAATTCATTTTGGATTTTGTGTGTTCATTTTGGGATTGTTGAAAATGTGTTCTTTTTTGCATTTTGAAAAATTGTTTTGAAAACAACCAAAACGAGTTTTGAAAATTTTGGCTTTATTATAACTGAAAACACCAAAAATGAAAAATTTGTCGTTTTGTGTTTTCTTTGTAAATTTTTAACTTGTTTTCAAAAACGCATTTTCAAAAATAGAAAGAGAACGCGTTTTTACTATTTTGAAAAATCGAAATCAGAAAACGAAATTTGAAAATTGTAAAGAGAAAAGACCCTTATGGATTAAGGCTTTAGCTTTAATTTTATAGTTTTTCAACAAGAACGTACCCTGCGAATGCACTTATAGACTAGAAATGACATCATTGCCCCCACCAGAGGTGAGATGACCCATGATGAAGTTACCCTTGCCAGTGAACTCCAGAAAACAGCACCAGTTCCCCCATAAACAAGACCAAATCCTACCATTGATCCCACAATACAATGTGTTGTCGAGACTGGCCAACCATAGTACGATGCAACCTGAGTAGAAAAAGAGAAGTTGAGATAAAGGAAGTCTGTCGGTTTGACAGAGAGAATTTGAAATCAAATTTATGGACTCTAGTAAAACATATATATTTCTCTTTCAGAATTTAATCATGTTATGACGAGTATGCTCATATTTGATAAGCATACTTATCGCTTAAGTGCATTATAGGTGAACAATCTTGTAATAATGCATTCAAGAGAGTACAAAACCATCATAAAAACCTCATTCAAGCTCTTACAAAATGTCAGTTATATCTGAAATTTCATGAATTTGTAAATTACAAAATACATTTGGAAATCCGCCACTAGTGATAGTCAGCATCACCTATGCTTTGGTGTTTGATTAATCTAGGAAAGTTACTTAAAGACATGAAGTGTGGAATGAGCTAAGGATTTTTTATCAGCTACTCGAAGTTAATTACTATTTGAATTCAAGTTGTCATAGTCATTAATCTGCTAATGCTATTAAGTACACAACATGCAGAGTAGGCTGGTAGTGATGTAAATTATTAGAAGGGTTTTGCTAGGTTTACATCCGGGGTTCACACCCTAGATGATAGCCCCCTCACAAGAGGGGGGCCCTCAATTTTTTTATTTCGCGCATGCCCTCAAGAGGGGGCTGTCATCTGGGGTGTTCAGGATGTGCAAACAGCAAATTTTAGGTAGAAATTTGCTTTATTTTACATGAATATGCGGTACTGGCAATATTAGACAATATGTGAAGATGTATCTTCCAATTTTTCTACAAATCATGGCCAGCACATCCAATTGCATGAGGAAATGTTAAAGAATTCTCCCAATGATTTGTCTAACAAAAGGCTAGTTTTGAGGCAGCCCTTCATGGTATGAAGCAAGAAAAGTGTAGGTGACATACTTAGATGAGAACGAGGCTTATGTTATCAGGCTATAAATTCCTTGTATTTGCCTCAGGGAATCTAAAAGGAAAGAGTGTCCGGTTAACATTTTCTCTAAGTAGAGTTTCAGAATATTTTCTCGTACAATGTTTCACGAATATTATTGTTTTAACTCTTTATTGTCCTTTATGCATTGAGAACTCCATCTGTCGAAACAGAGATTGAGACATTGGAACCAGTAACAATGTTTTCAGTTCTGAACAAGGACTAAAATGCTGAAGAAAGCAATGCAGAGCTTGGGAAATATGATAAAAAAACCATTGCATTCTTAAAAATAACATTTGAAGGACATTAGCAGAAATAAAGAAATTATTGTAGGCTTTCTAGCTCAACTTCTTTCTAAGATGTTTCCCTTCTCTTCTTCGAAAAATTCAATTCCTTGTGAATTATGATGAAAGTCGGTATAGTTATGAATTATAAAGTATTTGATCTGGAGCCTAATCATAATATACACTTTTTCCTCAACCAAGGATCAATTAAACATTCCGACGGTATATAAAGGTTTTTAGGGAGCCATTTTCTTAAAAATTTGGAGCTGCGAGTGTTGAGAGTGGACTACTATATATCTTTGTGTACTTTTCATTGTTCCTCTCGAGACTTGGAAATTAGGAATTAAAATTTTCGTGTACTCGAGAAACAGAGTAATCTGAAGTGCACCTGTAACCAAGTACCAGCAGCAGCCAAGGAAGATAGCAGACCAGCAAAAAGCAATGTATCCTTCCCTTGAAAAACATTGGCAACAAGAATTCCCTTCTGCATTGTACTGGTAACATGAGTACCCATAAGCAACGCCCCTGAGAATTCCAAAACTGCCGCCATCAACACTGCCTGCCGGAGAGTCAACGCGCCTGACCCTACTGAAGTTCCCATTGCATTAGCCACATCATTGGCTCCAATATTCCAGGCCATGTAGAATCCAAACAGAAGTGTACCATATGACAAAGCTTTTGTCTTTAAATCCAATCCCATACCCAAAGATTTCATAAAAAATGGGAAACAGAGAGCAGCCACTGCAATGCATACTGATATTGCAGAAGCTATGCCTGAAGATATGTGAAAAGCCTGTGCCATTCCAGGCAATTCATTATCAGACTTTTCGTCATGGGGTTCAGCAATCTCTTCACCTCCTTCACCTTCTGCTTCTGCAAAGGGTGATATGGCAGCAGAAGGGTGCACAAAACCTTGGCTTCCTAATCTTACAAGTGAAAGAGGCTTCACTTGTTTTAGTGGGATTTCATTATTAAGTACGCAAAACCTTTTTCTTGGGAGATAGAGATGAGAATTCTGAACTAATAAAGCTTCTGGGGTGGTGCTGTTTCTAGTGGAAGATAAACAAAAAGAGGAAGACATGACTTAATAGAAAGTGTAGAAGAGGATATGTTTGAGATAGATTCTTGACCATGGAATGTAGAAGGGAAGAGAGGAGTAGGTGACTCGGGGGAGAAGGGGGATTTTATTGATTATAGTGTTTTTATGGTTTTGGTGGAAAACTGGAGGTGGGTGAGGATTTGGCAGCTTGCTTTGGTTGATTGGAACGAGTGGAGGAAAAATGAAGTTGAGTTTTGATGTTAACACCACTATTTTCCAACTCTAAAAATGACAAAAAATTGTGAAAATTTTAGAACGAAACGTAACTGAAATTTATTAAAATTAAGAATTTTAAGAACTTCAAATGTAGGAGACGTGACAAGCTTATTCGTTTAAATTCCGTTCCCAAACCCATTTCTCTACGTCCATTACATTTTCACTTTTTGTTAAAACGTTACAAGATTACCATTTTTACAGATAAACGACAAAGAAACTTGAACTTATATTTATGAATAGACAAGTTTATTAATTTAAATTGTATTTTCAATAAATGCAAATAACCTACTTAAAAATTCAACAACTCGACCACTTCTACCAAAAATTATCACTTTCAAAAGACCTTCCACACTTCCGCAGATCCTCGTAAATTTGTCCAAGAAAACAATTATATCTGCTAGAAATTTATGGATCGAGACCTGAGACCATAATATAAAAACTTACTTAATTTGACATTTAAGTATAAATTTCATCACTAATTTTAACTAACCAAAAATCCAATTGAAATTATCACTTTCAAAAGACCTTACAAGTTGGCCTAGTTTGATTTTTATCTCTTAACATACCCCCGCAAGATGGCGACTCTTATGAGCGTATCAATATTGAAATCCAATTGCTCGTTTTTTGAGTTTTAATCGAATCAAATTGCTTGTTGGATTTTAATGAACTCTGATACTTTATTAAAGCCCCGTTTGTTATGATTTTAAAAAGTCAAAATGAGCTTTTAAAAAAAAACACTGCTTTTAGATTGTACGACAGTTTCCGCGTATTAAAATACAGAAATCGTCAAAAATTGTATTTTAAGAAATACAAATGAATGAGAATCTTCTTGTAATTGCAAAACTGCAAAATCCTCTGATTAATGATCCGAATGTTT